CTAGCTTAGCTGAAGTTTCTCACCTTAAATTTGGATTTATAGCCATTAGTAGAGATGTGAGAGACTAGAGATTTTCGCCTGTCAATATTCTTCTAATAGAAAATCCAAAATTTCCTTTCCACTGAAGCAAGGGATAAGATAATCCAGATAAAGGTGGTAGACCTCGTATACATGACGCAGAAATATGTGATAGATTTTAATTGTCCTCAAAACAGACACAATATATACTTACATTGACATAATTTTAATATATTCTGATTAAAAGTTTAAGACAGTATTTTCTTTCCAACTTTTCCTTCCTTCCAATGTATGCATCCTTTAAATAAGCTTATCTCAATTATTTTCATGTTGATTCTTTTTTTTTTTAATGGGTGAGGCAAGCAGCATGGAAGGAAAAAAAATGAGACTGGGAGAAGCTAAACACCTCTTGTTTCAAAAAAGATCTTCAATTTACATAGCTCCTTATCATTCCAAAACACATTTGTGCAACAGCATCATGAGTGATAGCAGCAGAAGTCTGGAAGGAGTAGTATTTGCTCATTAACAGTTCTTGAAGAATCATAGGAGGACAATGTTTTTTTTTTCTGGGATCTACTGAGCTCATGGCCGATACATTTCTCTTATTCGTGTTCTTGCCAAACAGGCAATGGCTATTTTCAAGATACCTGTGGCAGACACTTAGAGCCAGGTTTATCAGGAATGCTGAATATCCACCCACAGCAGGAATAAACAGGACCTGCAGGCAATTGGCCTCCCTAAACGGCAGAGATATAAATTTCAGTAGATTTTCTCACTGTGCTGTTATAACCAGCTAAAGTAAGTCACAATTTCTACCTACATTGTCAGTGACCTTTTATTATTCTGTGTTACTTTCAATCTTGGCATAACATATGTGTTTTCCAAAAAGATGAATTTACTGCATTTAACATAGAGAACACATATGCATACAGTATGTTTATATATCTATTGAATATATACACAAAATTATGAAAAAGAACCATAAATATTAGCAATCTTTGCTGGAGTATAAATGCACCTCATGAAAAGCTTAATTATCATATACCCAAAGCTTTATGTATTCTCAGGGAACATAGGAAACTGATAATGAACTAAACATAGGTCCTGACCAAAGCTAAACCGATTGTTTCCAAAATACAGTGCTTGTTCCTGTAGGTACAGGTTCTGAATAGTGACTGAGATATGCTACTCTTAGTCAGCATACCTTGTTTCTCAGAACACTTGCAACTGTGAAATGTTGCTCTGTATGGAGAGATACCCGTAAAAATGTCATAAACAAATTCATTCAAATGCTGCCTCACTCATGACTGGGGGATCAGAGCTATTAAAATGCAATGTGAGTTTCTCACAAACGTTGCCAAGCCTCAGTGCACTGGATGGGTATCCGCTGCCTGTGCAGACAATGAACAGCAGAATTGAAGCCAAGACCCTGAAGGTGGAACAAGATGGTAAATTCAGTGGTCATTTTTCCTTTCATTTTTGACCAAGAGAAAAAAAGACTTCAGTTATGAAGACCACAATTCTGCACCTAGCAGCACCTGACACTTACTAACCGTCATGCACTTTGAGACCAGAGTTACGTATTGTAGGTCAGATAAAACCTTCCATTCCTCTCTGCAGAACTTCTATTTTGTTCCTGTTTTTCTGCTTATTGTTATGGTTAAAGGAGGAAAAAATCCTGGTAGGTGCATGAGCATATGTTTGTGTGAAATCTGTCTAATTAATTGCTTGAATAGCTGTAGGCAGAGTTGATGAGCACTAGCAGAATAGGTAGGAGTGAAATGCAGGGGTAAAGGGATTATATTCCAAGGAAATCAATGTTTCATATAGATACATCTTTAAGCTTTGTATCTGTTAGTTATGGAATGCATCTAAAACAGATCATTCACAATGTGTTCACATTTAATTTTCAAATACTTCATGAAAACATTCAACTCAGGAGACTGGACAGGTTGAAAGTGTCCCTTCTGTGCAGGCTACTGTTGTGTATTAGACCGAGATAGACAGTGACCTTTGCCAAATCCTTCACTATTGCTAGCTCTTCTGAGATCAAAGCAAAGCGAAATCAGTTTTTCATGAATGTTGTTACTTTCCTTCATGGCTGCTGGTGGTGTTCCTCATGGAACACAGTGGGAAAAGACAGGCTGAGCAATCCTGACCCTAAAGAAGTGGCCCCTCCAGATAAGTTGTTTTGAAATGCAGCATTACCTTCTTTAAAGACAGATGAAGAAGAAACATATTATCTTAGTGTGCTGATGGCCCATCCTGGTAACAAGCTAAAGTAGCTTCCACTCAACTGTACTGGTCAGCAAGTGAGGAATGGAGCTCAGAGTCTTTATATTATCAAAGTACTGAATGCAGAGGTCACGGTACACTCGGCAAGCCACAAAGAGAAATTAAGATAATTCCTCTAGCCCTTTACTTTGGCAACATAGAGTACTAGAGCATACTTACACAAAAACTGCATGCCAGTGTAAGAGTTTCACCCAGGGAATGTGTCTTTTTCCTGATGAACAGTGTTTTTCATCAAAGTCCTTTATCTCGCTGGCTTGAGCACATTCTGTTATAGGTAAATTAAGCAAAATTTTTTGTTATTTTAATATCCTTCTTTTAGAAAAACTCTTTTCAGAACACAAAATGTTTGCTAGGTCCCAAATCTCGTGTCTTATATCTTTCTCTGGTGATTTATGGATTTCCCGTTAAAATTGGCAACCAATCATCTCATGCTATGTTCTGAAAGAGAGGGAGTTTACTACAAGTATTTTAGAAAACACTCTGTGTTGAGTAATACATTTTTAAGTATTATGGAAAATATTTTAAAATAAAAATCACAACTGTTGTTCTGACCTCTCTAGGAGAGGTCATATCTGCAAATAAGTTCTCAACTACAGAAAGGAAAAAATCTTTACAAATGTCAGTAGCTAACTATGTTTATTACAACTAGATTTAGAACCAATTCCACTGTGAATGAATGTATAAAACTGTTACAGCTAAATGAACAATAATTTATCATTTAATGGCAAGTTTCCCCATACTAACAGCAAGAGTAACAGGCAAATAAAGAACTCTAAAATGCCAAGGAACAGAGTAGAAAAGGAAAGAGTCCAGAGAAAGAGAAGAAATCAACTCCCAGGGAAGAGATATTTTTTATACAGAATTGTCTTTCCTCTTAATAACAAACAAACAAAAAATCAAGAAGGTGGATAGCCATGTAACAAGATGAAACGAAAAAAGACTTTGTTAAGAAAAGAACTCCCTGGACTGTTGAGAGTTAAACTGAGAGCCCTGCAGGTTTGCTGAATAGGCTGAGCAACTGAGGACGATTTTTTGTCTTAAATTATAACTACATTTCAGTTATGTAAATTGAGAATTTAACCGTTCTTGGTTTTTGTCAAAAGAAACTTGTAGGCATCTTAAACTAGTATTTAGAGTAGATTTGAAAGCCTCCAAGGGTCACAAACACAATTTTTAAATAAGAAGAACTGCTGTTACAGAAAAAAAATGTGAGGAAGAGGGGACAACTCCCACTAAAGACCACCATAGGTGGCATGTTACCGAAGGTTAAATACAATTTCTTGTCATCATACATTTGGAGGCTCTTGAACACATCTTCAAAACTCTGAAGAAGGCAATTTATCCAAATGGAAAGAATGAATCACTTCATTTCTTCAAAAGCATCAAAGGGATCGTTTTTCTTTTGATATCATTGTTTATAACCTTAATAGAGAATTAAACATCTCCTGATCATATAATTTTTTAAAAGATAAAATTTCACCCGTAAGTCTCCAAACATATAAACCATAAGAATTTTTCAGGGAGTATCTCTGAATTTCACATCACAG